TTCACTGGTCGTCAAAGTAGCCAAGGGTGAAAGGAGGAGTAGGGAGGTGAAAAGACTCCGGAGAACCATCTATCATCTCGCCACCCAAAATACGCTCCTTCACAAGGAGGTAAGGGGTCTCCTAAATAGGTTGAGTAGAAGGGCTTACCTACGCTGGCAAATGGGTTGGGTATACCCAGTCTTGGGTTGGGGTTGGGTTGGGGTCGCACAGACCATGGGTTAGGGTTGGGTTGGGGTCGCACAGACCATGGGTTAGGGCTGGGCTGGGGTCGCACAGACCAAGTGGTAGGGTTGGGCTTGGGTTGGGTTGGGTTGGGTTGGGGTTGGGTTATATTTTTTGGGTACTTTAACGGAACAACACTTAATTAAGATAATGTGTACACGTTGATGATATAGTAGATACATAAAACGAGATATATTAACACAGCTAATTATCACGGTAGCGCTGAGGACGCTGGCGCTTTCGAGGTGGCAATTGACGCTCCTCCTGGACCTCTTCCTCCGACTCTTCTTCTGTAGTCTGGTTCTCCTCATCTATATCGAAGGTATGCTCTAACGAGGCTGGAAGCTCAAAAAGATCATTAACCTCGTCAATTGGCTCTCCATCCTCCCCTAATTGAGCAACTAGGTAGTCTAGACCCTGTTCTTCCTCTTGAGATATTGTATCCTTAAGAACCATTATCTGCTGTATTGTCCGGGCAGATAGTCGGTGCCTCCGACTACCAATAACATCCTTAGCAACATTGAAAACTCTTTCAACCCCAACCTGAGCAATTGGTATTGCTAGTATATCCTTCGCCACTTGGGATAGTCTATTAGCAGATGTCTATGATAAACAGCTGTGATAACTTACCAGACTTTTTCTGGGTAAACCGCTTCTCTGAAAGTATATCCCACTCTTTCTCTAGCAGCTTAGCCTGTCTAGCACTATTTGCTAATTTATACTTAGGCTGTTGCAAAAGCGATTTCTTCAGTTGGTACTTCGCGGAGCGGTCGGCTGTTCTAACGCTTTCAAGTACCTTCTCCTCTTTATCGAAAAGAGCTTTGCGTTCACGTTGAGCAATAGCACGGGCGCTACCACTCAGAGAGCCAGTATAGGGGACGCTCAAATTGATAGGTCGGCCTTTTCGTGAACCCCCACTACCTCTTTGATCTAAGATACCGTCAATCTCGTCAGCTTCACACGCAAATCCCTGCTTATATTAGCATAAGCTGTGATAAATGGCTGTGATTATTACATCGGTAAGCTGCTCCCACTCATCTTGTTCGAACCCAGGCGGAGGTTCAAGTTTGATGGCTGGAACTAGGCCTTCAGGTACGTCGCCGACTTGCTCTTTCGCGACAGGCATGGCGGGGACTGTGATAATGCGCTGTTGTAAATGGGGTGTTTTCAATGTAGTAAAGAGAGTTATTAGGTGTTGGGAGTTACTGGGCGTCAGGGGCTGGAGAAATGGGTAGACAGCATTATGCTCACCTAGAAATGGTCCGTGCGCTGCTGCCTGCGCTAGCGCGAAAACGCGGAAATTACCCAAAATGATCAACACATCGATGATTCCTTCATTTTTGGGCTGCACGCATGCGCGAGCTCGGCGTTTATCACAGCAGTTTAACACGTTTGTATGATATGCTCGCTACTGATTTTGCAACAGAAATGGTTGTATGCGATCGTGAAACAGCAAATTACGTCATGCAGTCCGTGCGCTGCTGCCTTTACTAGTGCGGAAATCGGGAAATTGCCGTCGCCCAAACTTTCCAGCTACCTAACTCTTTCAGCCTACTACTTTCTTAATTGTCGACCACATTTATCACAGTAATTAATCACATACGTCGCCTACGTTCATCATCTACTCTACTACGCAATGGCAAGGACAAAACCACGGCCTAAGGTCACCGGTAAAGCCGGCCGGGGTGGTCCTGATGGCAAGACAGTTACTGGCGGCAAGCCGGCTCAGAAGGCCCTTGCTAGTAAGGCTAGACGTCAAGTAGCAGGAAAGTCTACGCGAAAGGCACCTGTAGCTGTTAAGAAGAAGCGCAAGTTTAAGGCCGGCAGTAGGTTATCACAGTCGTTTATCACAGCTATTTTCTAATTTAGCTTAGCTGTCGCATTACGGGAAATCAAGAGATACCAGAGAGGTTTTGAACTACTCTTGCGAAAACTCCCCTTTTCCCGCGTAGTGCGCGAATTTGCACAGGTGCACAAGGCCGATATCCGCTTTCAACGATCTGCAATCGAAGCTCTTCAGGAAGCTACAGAAGCTTTCTTAGTTGGTTATTTTGAGGGTATAGTCTATCTACCCTATACTATTTTTCATTTAATAACTTTTATAGACTGCAACATCAATGCTATTCACGCAAAGAGGGTTACTATTCAAGAGAAGGATTCTCAATTGGCTAGGCGCTACTTTGCGCGCGAGTTACTAGCTTTTCTCTAGATTATAAGATATATCTAGATACACGTGCTTAAATGCTAGCTGGCGAAGCCTCTGTATATTATAAATGAAACTAGTTAATGCTACACTGTGTTAATCTACTGTGATACTATATAAACTTTTCTTTTATTGAAATCTATATTATACATCTTGCAATTTTTTTACTATAACCCAACCCTAACCCATGGTCCGTGCGACCCCAACCCAACCCCAACCCAACCCTAAGCTTGGCGCTGACAAATGGGTTGGGGTTGGGTTGGGGTCGCAAAATTTCTAACCCAACCCCAACCACACCCCGACCCATTTGCCAGCGTAGGCTTACCAGTAAAAAAGCTTCCCCTTAAAACTCTAAAAAAAACAAGGATAACTATTATAGGTGTTGGAAGGTCTATAGCACTAGTGCTGAAAGGAAATAACGATAACTAGGAATGCATTCTGTTCGGTGATGGTGATTGATTTATTACGAACACAGCTGCTACGAAGGTATACCTAAGCTCTGCGCAAGGTGGGCCGAAGTCGGGCCGAAGTGTCCAGCAGCCGACGTCTCTACCGATACTCACGATCCGACAATAGGGGAGCTATTTTCTGGTCGCCAAGGAAGATCCAGGAGGCTAAGGAGCGTAGGATCTAAATAGAATAACAGAGAGATCAGGAGGCACTCTAAAAAGCTAAGATAAAAGAGTTAAGAGACTAGGCAAGGTTATACAAGCTTCGATTAGCTCAGGAGAAGCGTGCCGAACGAGAGGCAGCTAGGGAGAGGAGGATGAAGGAGAAGGCCGAGAAGGAGGCTAAACGCGCCCGCAAAAAGGCCGATCTTGACTCCAAAAAAGCTATCCAACAGTCCCAAAACGGTAAGAGTAAGGCTTCAACAAGCTCTAGTAATCGCAATAAGCGTCAAAAACGTGTTGCGGATGCTGCAGCTGTTGAAGAGGCCTCAGGAGCTGCACCAGCCCCACCACTAAAAGTGAGCCGCTGCGGCCGGAACATCAGATTGCCGAGCAAATATAAGTAGCGCAAAGTAATCAGGGGCATTAAAATACTACTACTCTATGAAATCTCGCGATAATAGCTTTTGTGTGGTGATCTATAGCCTCATTTTTGGATTTGAGATGGTGTTGTTGGGCGGCGCATTGCGCGCACGGACACGGTAACCTTCTGCCTATGGACTGTGCGGATGGTCTGAGCGTCGTTCGGACCGAGATATCATCGAGGATTCACCAACTGGGCTCCAGCCCATCACAATAATGTAGACTTTAAAGCCCACGCTAAAGCACCTGAAGACCACCTTACGATTAATCTTAAAGCCGCGTGGCGTAAGGCCGATGCGTACTACTTAAAGCTTGACGACTCGCCTGCCTACTACGTAGCTGTCTGCCTCTATCTATACTACAAGCACTACTGCGAGAACAGCTGGGCCGATAAAGCTGGGTGGATTAATACGAACAACGCAGCTTTTAGGCAGCTTTAGGCGCTCTACAAGCTAGTAGCGGTGCTGAATTCTCGCAGCCGACCGTCTACCTTAAGCGATATCGACGACGCTATTAAAGCGCTCGTGAGCTACAACAAGGGCAGCAGTGAGCTTAACCTCGATGAATACGAACAATGGCGCAAGTACGAGCCGATGTGGACGAAGAAGCAGTACAATAACGGCAACGTTGTGCGATATTAGATAGACCTCGCTCCTAAATACCCTAACCTTAGCCGCCTCGCGATTGATATATTAACAATACCAGCATCTAGCTGTAAGTGCGAGCGCCTGTTTAGCGAGCTCGGCGATCTCCTTAAGCCTCGCCGCCGTAAAATTGGAGCGCAGCTGCTTGCAGCGCTTTAGCTCATACGTTCATAGGCGCGGGGAGGCTTCACAATACCAGAGAAGGCAGCCGCGGCGTATACCGACGAGGAGATGGCGATGAAGTACGGGGTGGACGATTGGGACGAGCCGTCGCAGTAACTACAGCGAAAATTTGTCCTTCTCGGCAGCCCAATCTGCCAATCTTCAATCAATCCGCAATTAATCTACTCTAAATCTTCACCTTAATCAATCTAATCAATCCGGAGCCTTGTGACGACCCAATCAATCCAATCTAGAGTCTCTGGATTGATCGGATTGATTGTTGACAAGTCTGCCGTAAAGGTACTAGCGGGTAAATGGGTGGCTGCCTGGTTGCCCAAGGAGGAGCCAAGGGATAAGCCCTATGGCCGACAATATTGTTTCGAATACAAGCATGATGCGCTGTGAAACTGCCAGAATATGAAGAAAGAAGTGAGAAGCTGTGAGAATTCAGGAACAGCGGAAGGAATAAAAATGTGCACTTGTGGAGAGTTCGAGATGGGTTTATGATAATTTTGTTAATGATAGTCTATCTTCACGCAGAGATTCAACGCAGAAAGCAAAAAATCGATTAGAGAAAACAGAGTTGACGACAGGGCGGAAGTAAACTTACTAACAGAAAGCAGTAAAACCAACCGGAAAGAACGGACGTAAACAACTTACCTACCCCCATCTATCCCGACATGCTCACCGAGGCACTCGAGTCGCCATTTCTTCTACCTTACTTCATAGACTCTAACCTAATAGTAACGATAACCATTAGGATTTGGCCTAAACCCTTCACGAGCCTTGCGGTGGAACTCATCCTGAAGCGCATCCTTCCCTGGACTACGAGGCAAGTACTTATCCTTGAACCTTTGACGCTCCAAGTCACGCGTAGTCAGGCGAGTCTGCGGGGGAGCTGTAACAGCAGTCGGTTGTGTCCAATTGTCGCGCACAGGTTCAGCTTGACGCTGAATGAAATCCTTCTGCTGTCCTGGTGTCTCTGTCACTTCAGGCTGGGCCTGCGCAGTCTGCATCACTGTCACATCAGGTTGAGCACGCGAAGGCCACACCACAGGGAGAACTGGGGATTGAACACGCGAAGGCTGCAGCACAGGAAGAACTGGGAGTTGAACACGCGGAGACTCCACCAAAGGGAGAACTGGGGCGAGCGAGCGACGGAAGGAACTTGAAGCCAGCTTCACAATGCGTTCCTTCAATCCGGGCACTGCTACGATGGTGAGCATAAAAAGCATCGTGACGACTGTTAGTGAACCGATCATGTAGATTGTGCCTTCCATGTTGAGTGATACCCGAATGGTTTGCTGTGGTGAATACTTTGTAGAGCCCGGTATTTGTTTATATAACCAAAAGAATTCATTCCATGCGTCCACAATGCGATGGCCTCATCCACACCGTGAATGCACAAAGCGAAACTTGGGTAGTCCACAATGCTGACATTTTGGAAACGGATCGCAGGACAGAGGTAGTGAAAGCACTATACACTATACGCTGGACTCATCGACGATGGGCTGCTGAAATGGCGATTAAGGTGTTAGCAGTTCCTGGTGTGACCGGGTGTGGCGGGCTCGTGACGGTGGGCTGACGACGTCATGAAGTTCCTCCATGTTACCCAGCCCATGCCCATCGCAGGTTGCATCTCACCACATCCTCCCCTCCCAGCTTTGCATCGGCTGAATCGCCGCAAAGCCATGCCTCCACAGGTATCGGAATCAGTGCTGGAGAAATACCGTTATGAGATACTCTTTGGCGCTTGGCTCGCTGTGACGGGAGCGACGTTCCTTCGCATCAAACGCCAGCCCTACAGCACGCGTCTGAAAATTGAGCAGTACGAGAGCATCTTCAAGGGCACTTCTCTGGGCGCCGTACTCATCGGCATCGGAATCACACCTGCGCGAAACACAGCGAGACGCTTTTAGTGGGAATCCAACAAAAAAGAGTTGGTGCCGAGTTTAGGGTCCGGGCTTGGCGTTTCCCCGCAACCGTCTATCACATGCGAACCGTTTCACACTCCGTCACGTCACTTCCGACACAACAAAGTCGAGATAGAGGTCAAAATGCTGGGGCTGGGCTCACCCAGCGTCAGCGTTACGGTCAACATGTGGAATCCCGTATATTTCATCGCACTCTTGGTCTTGGTCGGCATCTCTATCCCGCTCGCGATCCTGGCCGTCTTCACCACGTCAATCGCCATCGTGTTTCTTTCTTTCCGCGCGCTTCAGGTCTACTTTGATCTTGCCATTGCGGTCGTCAGCGTATGGCTTACTCCTTCATCACCGAAATATGTCTCTAGCCATCGCTCCTCTCTTGCGTCGTCGGCCCGACAGTCCCCGAATCGGCACCGGCAACGGAGCAGCACCGCGAGCACCGCGTCCTCGCATGACATCAGCGTGCCTTCTCTACACAGCTCACGCCTTTTACAGCACAAGAACAATTCACTCTCTGCACTCATTGGTACGGGCGGATTGACACGAGACTATGAAGGCGTAGGGGGCTGGAGAGTAGCCGGCGACGACGACGAAGAAGCACTATGGATGGGCATCAACTCTCGACTTCAGCTGCCTGCTGAAGCGCCTAGGAGACACAAGCGAAGTGCAACAGGTGGTGCTAGTCCAAGTCAACGATGGAGTGTTAGTTCAGAGGCACTCCGCATGAGCCCTGTGCAGAGCAGGTCCAGGACACCAGTACGCTTTGTCATGGACGATGAGTCTAGCTACTTTCCCCCACAATACACGGCGTCCGGTCGGCGGCTTAGTACGAGCTCGAATACCAAACAGCATCGAAGAAGGAAGAGTGGTAGTAGTACTAGTAGTATTTCTAGTAACGGGTCAACTGGCTTGACCATGGCTGTTAACGAGGTCAGGCAGTAAATTTACACCCCTTCGAATTATTATGACCTTTTTGCGATAAAAAGTTATTCGTTCCATGTGGTTCATAAAGAATGTGTATTGTTGTTATATTTCCCGTAGTTTAGCGTCGAGCACGCAACGTTGTTATTGACACCTTATATGCCAATGTATTGGTCTTGAATCTACTTACCCTTCCTACCGATCAAAGCTTTTTTCAATCGTTCTATGCAACCCTGCGCCCCTGTTTGATTGGTGCAGAATCCAGATCGCCTAGTCCCCAGAAGACAGAACCACCCAAACGCTGAGCAACAGCACATACGCAGTCGAACCCCGGTAGCGACCTTATTATCGAGTTAACAACCACGGTTGAGAAGCGGAGAAGCGTTGAATCTCGGATAGGCGTCGAGTTGTAGCTGTAACATTTCTTTAGTAGAACTCCGCGCTCTTTAACAGGATCATGTAGACATCCCAATCTGCTTTAGTAGTTGTGTGGATGGAGGAGTATACAGCGTTTGATTATTCTTTCACATTCATCCGTGACAAGTTTTTCATACTACTATTACATTACTGCACAAACCCGTGCATTTCATATACAGCAAGCCTCGGCAAGAATCCACAGCTTTTTTTTACAACCGTACGTGAAAGGAGAACCTGCTCACATCTCATACCGCACTATTGCAGGAGTCTCGGATTTACTCTGTGCTTGACTTTTCCACGCATAATAGCCCTGTGCCAACTCCACGGGGGAATGCGCAGGCGCCTCCGTCACATTCATATCACTACCGTGGTGACTTGCGTTGTCGTAGCTCTTGTACTGGGTCATAGGTACATGTACCTCGTGTACTGCGTACTCTGGCATAACGTCGTTTTTCTCGTGACGCTGGCGCCGGAAAAGGAACCATCCTGCTGCGAGGCCTAGGATGAGTGCGACGGGTATGCCTACGCCGAGGCCGATCTTGGCGGCTAGGGGGAAGGCGGCTGGGGAGGTGGCTTGGGTGGAGAGGTTGGGTGCGGTTGTTGCGCTGCTGGTTGGTATGCTGGTTGTTTCTGTGTTTGATGGGGTACTTGACTCGGGCGAGCTTGTCTGTGTTGGGGCCGGTGTACCGGTCGACGACGCGGCTTGCGATGTCGATGTCGATGTCGGAAACATGACCGAAGAAGACGACGATGCAATATCTCCAGCGCGACTCTCCTCAATGTAAAAGTAACGACTACTCGAATCCCCACCCCCTTTTCCTTCTTGGAAAAGACTGAGATAGAACAGGTTCGATATCTCGAGGTTCTTTCTCGTCCCAACAAGCCAAGAGTAACTCGTGATATTTCACTGCGTTTTCTGAATTTCATGGTTAACTAGCTTGTTTGTTTGTTCGTTTGTTTTTCTTAGGGGGGGGGGAAGTTCTGAGACAGTTGCTTACGAGTTAGATATTCCATATCTCCAAACCACACCCCGTCTGTTTCATTCTGTTGGTACAGGACCAGGGAAACACCGCCTCCGTCTTCGCCGGGGGTCCAACCGACGTTCACAATAGTCCCTGCGTCGTATGTTGGGCTATTGCTGAAGTCGCCGGTTGTTCCAAACGGCGGGGGGTTGGTGAAGATCATTAGTCCGGAGACGTGGGTAAATAGTCCGGTCACTAGAGTATATGCTGCCAGGCAGCCCATGATGAGAGAGATCGGCCGTCGAAGACTGAACGAGTGTGAGTGTAGTGTGATGACTAAGAAAAAGTGCTCAAATGCAGGGCGAAAAAAGACAAATAGCGAGGGCCAGAGAAGTACAACTGCAAAGACTATGGGCGAGCTGCAACACGAAGAAGTCGGGTATGGGCTCATGTACTTCTCCTACCCATGGAATGTGATTGATGCGGTGGCGGAACGCACGAATGAGGCACAGCAGCGCTTCGTACCTATACGGCGCTTGTGAGAAAGCATTTCTTGCTGTTCAGATTCCCTTGATGGAGACGATCGGAGTTCATCCATTGGGAGCCGTAACCGATGTCTTGAGCTTGAGTCCTGTGAGGGTGTGCAGCCATCTCGTTCACAACCTCTCAGCCTGGTGCCCTAGTAGTTCTCTCATCAGCTATCATTCTCGACTAAGTATCTTCTTCTCTGTAATTATACCACACACATAAGTAAGACATGCGACTCCTCGGCTCTCCCGTGGACTCCCGTACGGGGGTACCTGGAAGAACTGAGCGGGTGAGCATGGATGCGCCAGGATTCTCTTGGCTTAACTCAATAAGGTTAAGCGAGCTGGTTAAGTTACTAAATTGAGCCATGACTGTTAGATACTTGCCTACCTAGGAATAGATGCTTGCCGTATCAATCCCACTCTCAGCCCCTTGATAACCTGGTTACGGTAGGAATCCGAGTACCCTTATGTGATTGCTTGCCCAAGCTTTGCATATGCACGCGCCATAGCCCACAAACCACGGGCTGCTCCTGGAAACCGTAGTTACGGGATTGGATAACTAGGCGCTACAAATTGTGTTTAATTTTCCAAACAAGGGGTGCACGAAGCACTTGGTGTCTATTGCGCGGGAGCCATTCTGGCCGTTTCCCGCAGCGCGCTTATACCATATGATATATGGAGCCAAAACGTTCATTTGAATGAATCCCCCGACAAGAGAAAATGTCATGAAAACGCCCATTTTGTTCTCTTTTTGTGAATTTCGCATTTCTCGTCTTCTCCTTTTTTTTATTATTATTCTTAGCCCCGAGCTGAAATCATGCTGTTACGACCAGTGCAGTTATCCAAGGTCTTCACTTACCACTCTTTCATCGCGCTGTGTACATTAGTGTTGATTTACCACATCCTCTCCTCTCAGGACCGCTTTGTCATTCGTATACCAGGGGCCGTTACGACCACCGTACAGGACACCGGCTTTCCCCGACAAATCTGGTATAAACTAGGTCCTAATGGCCTCTCTCCAGAAACGCAAAACTGGACAGACAGCTGTATCAAAAACAACCCTTCCTACACAGCGCACTTCATGACCGACGAAAGCAGCGACGACTACGTCCGTACAGCTTTCGCTTCCCGCCCGGACATCGTCGCAAACTACCTCGCCCTCCCCATCCCCATCTACAAAGCAGATTTCCTGCGCTACCTCCTCCTCTGGGACCGCGGCGGTATATGGTCCGATCTAGACGTATCCTGCGAGACACCTATTGGCACATGGGTGCCGTCTGAATACCAGGCCAACGCCTCGCTCGTTGTAGGGTGGGAGTTCGACCAAGGCTGGCCCGGTGTGTACGTCCGACAATTCGCTAGCTGGACTATCATGGCTAAACCACGGTCCCCACATATGATGCAAATCATCGACGACATACTGCTTACACTGCGGGAGAAGACGGCCGAACACAACATTGGTGTTGAGGGCGCGTCGTTGGATATCATGGGCGATGTGGTTGATTTTACGGGGCCGCGGCGGTTGACAAGGAGTGTGTTTAAGAGTCTGGGGAGGATGCTTAATAAGACTGTGGATGTGCGTGAGATGCAGGAGTTGCTGCAGCCGAGGTTGGTGGGCGATGTGCTGGTTATGCCGGAAGTCGTTCGCGGCGTCGGCGAATAAGTATAGCGAGGAGGTGGAGAGTGTGCTGCCGCCTAGGTTGGTGACGCATCATTATGCGGGGACGTGGAAGAATGATAGGGGGGGTGAGCGCTAGATGGCGATGCTGGGGGAATGGGTTGGATGAATAAATGATGCCGCGTTACCATGGATTGGGTGTTGAGATATCGAATATGGCTATTGGGTAGCCTAGAGGGTCGGCCTTGCGATGGACTGTTGTTATCTGGAAGAGCAACAGCAGGATTTGCCTCGTATCAGACGGCAAGCGATGCAGTCGGTCATGATCACCACCATCACACTGGGGTTGGTTCCATGGTGTATGAGTAAACGGCCAGAGGCAGAAGCGATGAAGAGAGCATAGAGGATATGGAAGATGCGCGCTACAGACAAAGAGAGTTTGAATGGGCCTGTATTATAGATGTATACCCTACGTGGTGGAACCAGAGCGTATCCCTGGCCGAGAGTAGAGAGACGCTATAGAATCAATCGCTCTGGCGTGTTTGGTTGAGCAGCTGATACTCTCTCGCTTTCGTATGCTCTTCTGCTTCATCATAGCAGGTAACTATGGTCTGTGAAGTCAAAACCCCATCGGTGGAGTCGAGGAAGGTGCATTCGACGCATGCTTAGTAAGCACGGGACGAATGTGTAGGTGTACCAGACTTACCAATACAGTCCATTTCTTCGCAATGAAGTAGTCTACCAAATAGATCTCGACGTGGATTCAGGCTGGATCAGATGCAGTGGTAGTCGTCGTCCGAATACCGGGCTTCTGATATGTACTTTATGCTCTGTATCAACCCATGCGCAAAGGCAGAACCCCCCAAAGCCTCCTCAACACAAATTTTCTCAAAACCCCAAGAATGCCTACCTACCATTACCGAAAAAAAAAAGATTTTGTAACATACACGGTCGATAATCGTACGACCAATGCATCAGCCAGCCAGTCCCCTCTTCTCGGACCGGGGTTTTACGGCGACGTCATGCTTGGTGTGTGGGTCCAGCTTTTGAGCACCAACCCACGACATCACTCCATACCCTCCGAACAAGGCTAGCCTGGACCATCGTATCCTTTAAATTCGACAAAGCTTCCCCCAGAATCTTGGATTTTGTCACAACTTTGCTTGTCGCAGCTCCCTCTCCACTCTATCTGTTGATGGTTTGAACGCCAGAAATCATTGGATAACAGCCCCGAAGCTCTATCGATAAGACACCTGGCTGGGATCACAATCATTATTGCAAGCGAGCAAAAAACAGCAAATTCAACATGTCTGTCTCAGCGGCTTTGAGAAGTCGGGTTAGGAGGCCGAGTTATCTGAAGAAGATTGCAAAGGCGGAGGATTTGCTTCATCATTTTCCGAATGGGGCTTACATTGGCTGGTCGGGATTTACTGGTATGATTTATGCATTTCTATTGTCTGTGGCTCAAACTGATTTCGAATAGGTGTCGGATATCCAAAGTAAGTACATCTCGACGGTCTGACTCTATGTTCGGCCAAATTCATGAGGCTCTTTCATCTACCTACCCGGGATCCGAGGGGGAACGGAAGTGACGAAAGCCGAGCTATCTCCGACTCCACAATTCTGGCTGCGCATGGATCAAGTCGAAACGAGTACCCTTTGGAAGTCGATCTTGGCTGTCCAAGAGATTTGGGAATAGACGTGGCTATGCCGATCTCGGCCTTGATGATCGTGTTGCTTTGCAGCTTGAGGCTAACGTCATGATAGGAAGATCCCCACTGCCTTGGCTGACCACGTGGAAAAGAACAGCCTTCAGGGCCAGCTAAAGTACAATCTCTTTGTCGGTGCCTCTTCGGGGGCTGAGACTGAGAACCGATGGGCTCGCTTGAACATGATTGAGCGGAGATCGCCGCATCAAGTCGGCAAGGAGATTGCCAAAGGTATCAACAATGGCAACATCAAGTTTTTCGACAAGCATCTTAGCATGTTTCCTGTCGATCTGATGTATGGGTAGGTATTGTGCAGAGTTCTCAGGAAAGAAGGTTGAGCTGATTTTGCTTAGCTTCTACACACTTAACAAGCCCAACAACAAACTGGATGTTACGATTGTGGAGGCGTCTGCGATTACTGAAGATGGAGGTATCATTCCAGGTGCCAGTGTTGGCGCATCACCGGAATTGATCCAAATGGCCGACAAGATTATCATCGAGGTGAACACGGCGGCTCCCTCTTTTGAAGGTCTTCACGACATCACCATGACTGATCTCCCACCCCGCCGAAAGCCATACCTCATCATGTCCCCCGAAGATCGCATCGGTACTCCTCACATTCCGGTCGACCCCGAAAAGGTTGTCGCTATCGTGGAAAGCGACTATCCTGATCAGACGCAGCCTAACGCACCCGAGGATGACACGTCGAGAGCCATTGCTGCGAACTTGATTGAGTTTCTGAAACATGAGGTCAATCACGGTCGTCTACCGGAGAACTTGCTGCCAATACAGTCTGGTATTGGAAACATTGCCAACGCTGTGGTTGGTGGTCTTGCTGTAAGTCAAACGACTTGTTTCGATATGTATGGTCACTAACAAGAACAGTCTGGTGGTGCCAACTTCAAGAACCTCAAAGTATGGACCGAAGTGCTCCAGGACTCTTTCCTCGATCTCTTCGACTCTGGCAACTTGGACTTTGCAACCGCTACATCTATCCGATTCTCTCCTGATGGTTTCCAACGTTTCTACGACAACTGGGACCGTTATGCGCCAAAGCTGCTCCTCCGCTCCCAGCAAGTCTCCAACTCACCGGAAATCATCCGTCGACTCGGAGTAATTGGAATGAACACTCCAGTAGAAGTGGACATTTACGCACACGCAAACAGTACTTGTGTCATGGGCAGTAAAATGCTCAACGGTCTTGGCGGATCAGCTGACTTCCTCCGTTCATCAAAGTACTCAATCATGCACACGCCCTCAACCCGCCCTACAAAGACGGACCCCACAGGCATTTCTTGCATCGTTCCCATGTGCACACACGTAGATCAGACCGAGCACGATCTCGATGTCATCGTCACTGAGCAAGGGCTTGCGGACGTTCGTGGGCTCTCACCGAGAGAACGAGCGCGGGTCATCATCAACAAGTGCTCACACCCAGATTACCGGGATATTCTGGAAGATTACTTCAACAAAGCCGAGTTTGAGTGCCTGAGGAAAGGATGGGGCCATGAACCGCACCTGTTGTGGAACAGCTTTGACATGCACAAGCATTTGAACGAAAAGGGTACGATGAAGCTGCCCAAGTGGGACTACAGCAGCGCAGAGGATGCGATGCACAAGGCTTAGTTAGTTACTGGATAAGATGTAATGAGAATGTTTGTTTTTAGTGGGGGCGACATGGCGTCGGACTGATTGCCTATGCGTGTCATTGGCGGCCTGGATGACGATTGTGTTGGGCTGGCGGTAGCTGCAGGCTGTCATAGTCAACATTGCATTGCAGCAGACGTGCAGGTGTCAAGGCGGCGGCGCAAAAAGGGGCTGCTTAGACCATGAGTTCGTTTGACCTAGTCGCTGCATGACGCCTTTGCCGCGAAAAAGGATTAAGGGCCTGGAGTGGGAGAGTGTGGAGTGTTGGGATGGCATTGCCACCCGCTAGAGGCTAACACGCGTCGGAACACATGATCGCGTGGCTCACAAACGACTTTAGTCACTCGCACTCGGCCTCGGGACGACACGACCGTCTTGTTCCTTTCCCCCCTCAACCGGGACGCGCCTTGAAGCCTGACGACTGCCCTGACTACTTGTTGTAAATTTCCCCAGGCCCTGTTTGATCTTCCGCTGGGCTGCCAAAGAAGAAACGAGATCAAGGTATTCCCTGTTCCCGCCCGTTCACGCGTCTTCGCGGCAATCTCGCGTGCTGCACACGAACACGGCCACGGTGCTCCGACGGCACGTCTCCCCATCATCGCCCTTGTCAGCAGAGACTACGGCTGCTACTATTGTACCCTTTTTGCATTTTTACTCGACTCCCATAGTTTGTCCAAGAGGTTGTATCTTTTTGTTGAAACCCGTTGGCCGGTTTACTACGTGTTACCCCGCCGCCACGCCCGCGGGCACAATGGGTAAGTGTCGCGTTCTGACTGCGCAATTATCCCGGCACTCACGTATCCGTTGTAATATTAGAAACCCCCAGTACTGCAAAGACGGCCGCTGTTGCTACCGCCATCAAGCCAGACATTCCCGTCACCGTGACGGTTCCGGATTCGCAGGAGTCAGCAGTGTCGACGACTTTCTCTGCACCCGCCTTGGCGTCATCGTCGAGCAATCTGTCTACGTCGACAACAACAGAAACAGACTCGACCGCGCCTTCTTCGGCCAATGTGCCTACCCAAAGTAAACAACATGAGGTATCGATGCCACCGACACCATGCAGCCAGCCACTCGGCTCTCCGGCCCCGGTAACACAGAGCTCAAAGAGAACATCGGATGGCTCGCTCAAACGTCCTGGTGTAGGCGGAGAGGGAGAGAGTCGACCTGGTCGTATAAGTGCACACAAGCGGAACAAGAGCATGGATACACACTCGGCTATCCCCGGTACCCGTATTGGAGAGGTGCGTCCCAGGTCCATGGCTCACCATGTACGTGCAGATTGCTGACGTAGATGCAGCTATCCGCACAACTCAAGACCCGTCTATCATATGCCATGGTCAAGGTCCAGAATGGCTGGGAGAAGCAGTCACTCGAAGAACTTGAGGAAGGCCAGTCTCAGCGCGCATCGCCAAATTCTGCCCCAGGGAGAAGCGACCATGTGCCATTTGAATCGCCTGCTACAAGCAACCGGCGACGAAGACCGAGTCATGTTTCTAATAGCTCAGATCAAATGCTCATGTCCCCGTCCTCCGACCCAAGCGCATCAGTGCCAGCCAGACCAGTTTGTCCGTACCCCTCTTCCTAATGTCATAACTCCCATTAACCTCATCCAGCTTACTGGGGCCCAGGCACTCACCCAGCCCTCAACGCCGCCGCAAACCTCATCGACATAACCGGAGGCCACCACCCATACGGCCTCGCCCCGGCCCCAACATTCCAAACCAGCCGCCGCCGCCGCTCCACCCTCACGCACGCACCCCCACTTCTCCTCGGCGCCGGCACCCAGCGAAAACACCACAGCCACCTCGGCGCACACCCTTCGTCACCACAAACTCCCCGCGGAACAGGTATTCTCCGCATGCCGAGCCAACAAGCTGAGAAAGACGCCGTCGATACTTTACTCTTCATGAGTAGTCCGAACAACTCACAACGGCTTCCTACCTCCGCCCAAACTATGCCCATGCCTAGTCCACTGCGTGCTGAGGCGCCTCAACGACGCGTCATGTTTGAGACATATCCAAGTCAGGAGAAAAGGGGGGTTGTTTATCAACCTGGGATGCCTGCTCCGCCTCACCATCATCAACATGCTCCTTATCCCGCTTATCCAGCAAGATAGCAAAAACATCTCCCTCTGCCACATGGGAACAATGGCACTGTTGACCTGACGCCTTCCCTACCGTTTATTCCTACCACCAAAGTGTCCTACCCACAACTGTGTGTGTTTTTCTTTTCTGATTCTATTAGACCCCACGACGGCATTTTCTTGCATGGCTGGCGTTGAGATACCCCCCCACTGCAACATGACTGCAACTGCACTACTACGGCAGAAAGGTTTCTTGGTCTACAATGTTTGTTGTTGTTGTTGTACTTTTTTGTACTTTTCTTCTTTTACTGTCGTTCACTCCTCTTTACTTACTCCGCATGTTTCATCGCAATACGACTGTATCGCGAAATACGATAACAACGACCCCGGTGATGATGATGATGATTACTAATGGTGGCTCAGTCTGTTAATCAATGACAAATCTACCGCCTAGGAAAAGTTTTCTTTGAGGTATGGGGGCAGGGCTTTCTTGGGTGGGAATTGGTGTTGTGTTGTGTTGATCGACCGATTGAAGTCCCTTTAGTATTACTATCGTTGTCATCGTGGATGTTGTTGTTGTTGTTGTTGCGTGGGTGGTGTGGTATTATGGGAGGGGTTTGCTTTCTTGAAATGTGGGAGGGGATTATGGTTAGGGTTGGCTGGCTGGGGTTTTCTTGGGCGGCGGACTCTGTGTGCATTTATGTGGCTTTGGCTTTGGCATTTTGCGTGTGCGCATGGCATGTTATATGATACGATGCGAGGAAAGTACGTGCTTATGAATGTATCTAACGAATGTTCAATGGAAAAACACATTGATTGAATTATTTGGTTGAAATGTTGTGGGTGTGAGAAAGAAGTCGGTGGGTGGGTAGATGTAGATGTGCATGTGTGGGTAGATGTAGATGTGCATGTGTGGGAAAATGTGGTTGGGATACCTAGAATATGGATTTCATCATGAACATCGCCTTCCCATCCATCGTGTAAGACGTGATATCAATCATCTCTCGTTTTCTTTCTTCCTTTCTTCATCCCGATTCCCGCATCTTACATCGTTCAAACAAACAAGCCATGATAAGAAACCCGCTTTTTCCAACATGAAACATCCAAGACTCATCATCACCCGCCGTCCAAACCAAACCAAACCAATCCAATCCAAGCAATACAATATCCCCCCCAAAACAATCACAGGTATATATCAAAGCAAATCCCATCCAAACGCCATCCCAATCCCATCGCCCCTAACTAATAAGCAGCAGCAACACCACTAACCCTCCTCTGCACAACCGTCATCCCACCCCTCCCCTCCTCAGCAATCTTCCCACTAACGTCACGTCTCCGCCCCCCGCGTCCAAGACTCAACGTCCCCAAATCCTCACCACCATCATCAAACTCATACGGATTAACGTAATCCACACCCGAGCGACTGACCACACGCGGCGAATGCGCTTTCTGCGGCGTGTATCCTGTTTCGCCCGTGCGTTTGATGCTGGTGTAGGATTTTTTGTGGAGGGAGAATGGGGATGTGGGGTTGTTGGAGGTGTGGGAGGGCACGGCGGGAGGGGGGGTGTTTACGGCGTATTGTTTTGTGGCCGAAGGGAGGTGATTTGGTGTGTTTTGTTGGCTGGGGTATTGGTGGAATGTTTGGGGGCGGGATGTGAAGGCGTTTTTTGCGGGGGAGGGGGAAGGCGAGGGCGAGAGGGAGTAGCGGGGGGTTTGGGACGCGGTGGGTTGGAGGTTGGCGTAGGAACGTGTTTTTCGTGTGCTGGAGGAGCGGGAGAGGGTTCGTTCGACGGATTTCTCGCGGGATGTGGCGGGCGGTGGGGTTGGGGGGTTCATGGAGAGGGGTTGCGGGATTAGGTGTTTGGCGGCGGCTTCGTCTTCTTCCATGTCGGACGTTTCTTCTTCGTAGCGGGACACAGTTGTGTAGCCCTTGTTGGAGGAGAACATGGATTGGCGGTGAGTTGGGGCGGGGATTTCATGCTCCTCCTCGTGCTCTTCTCCCTCTTGCTCTGGGTAGACGAACCAGTTGTCTTGCTTGAGGCTTTGTTGCGAGTTGCGCTGGAGAGACAGATCGCCGGCTGCGTCTTGTTTCTCGGCCTCGTTCTCGCCAGTCGGGTTGTATATGTCTTGTCTCGATGCGGTTGTGATGTACGAGTCATTGCGCGAGTGTCGCTTGATGTTTGCCTTTTCAGAGAGCATCGACTTGCGCTGCGCCAGAGTCTGGTGGTCACTGTCTTGACGACTCAAAAGGTCGCCACGGTTATTCAGATCCTTGCGCGACTGATGCGCAGACGCTGGTTGCGAGTACAAGGACTGTCGTTCTCTTGACTGACGAGCGGAAGCGGGTGTATGTGGCGAGTACGTGATATCAGAGGCCGTTCGCGTATGCATAAAAGGGATTGCCTTTTCTGGGCTCTTGAAATCGCTGTAGATGAGCGAAACAGGCCTGGAAGTTTGATCGCCGGCCACAGTGCTCTGGTCACTGAAACGCTTCTCTTGGTAGGAAGTCAGAGGAGTAGAGGCAGATATCGACGAGTTCTTGTGCTTGTGCTTGGTCTTTCGGCGCGACGTCAGGTTGTCCTCGAGAGGATTCATGTCCGGGGGCAGTTTCGCAATCTTTCGGAAAACGAGTGCAAGGTACATGTCGAGGAAAGTAGACACCAGATGAAGAGCACCAACAGTTATTCCCGTAAGCCAAGTTGACATGAGAACCTTGTCCGTTTCCGCGTCGGTAGGGAACATTGTCCGCCAGCGTCCCGTTGTTCCAGCCTGCATGTCGGCGTTGCGTCGGGCCATGAGCACCGTGAAGACGTAAAACGGGATGAAGCTGCAGTCGGCGACGAGGGCAAAGAAGTGGTAGCTGGCGGAGCTACCGGCTGGTCGCGTTTTGGGATTTCGAAGTAAGTGGTATACCGCGTACAAGCAGACACCGAGGTCCACACAAGGCTGATAATGTTAGTTTTGAGTCGTCGTGCTTTCGCATCGCACTTACCGGGACCCTCATTATGTATCCTTCTGAATCCTGCGCGCCCTGGATGAAGATTCCGCACAACAAAACACCAACTGCGCCACACAAAGTAAGCAGCCTGAGCGCAAACTGCGTCCATCGCGCAATGTTGATGAAAGTCTTGATTTTGTTGGTCATGGGTTTTGCGTCCGTCTTGCCATACGGAAGGACCAGATAGCTATCCGGGTGTTGGTTGAAGTCGATCAAAGGACCCTCTTTCTTCTTCTTCGGTGGCGAAGCAGGCATACGACTCGCCCTGGTAACTGCCTTGGGATCGAATATGGGCTGCGTAGGATCCGTGTCGGCCATGGAGTCCCTTTGCGCCGCGTACATATAGGGCTGCCAGCGGCCCGTCATGGCTGCGATGGGATGATGATTAATGAATGAAAGACTGCTGCACACGACCGTTCAAACAGAAATGAGAGATGGTCTCGTCGTATGACTAAAGCAAAAGAATGCGAGTGGCAGTTGATGATTGACATGGGGCGAGGATCTGGGGTGATAAGTATGTAAATACAGGGTTGCTATGACAACAATCAATAGTAACCAATACTGATGCAGAAGACATGACGTGAAGAACATGGGAGGGACATGGGTACGAGCGGGTAAAAAAAGCATTGACTAGCCGCAGCCGCCAGCAAAGACTTCTGAACATGTGGGGGTCCCATGTCGGATGGGATGCTCAGACGTCCAGACGGCATAACGGGGGAGATGAGTAACAATAACTTAGTCATCTTTGACTTAGTCATCCAGATTCCTTGGTACCGTTGGAGCCGCTACCAACAGCAAGGACCAGGACTCTCAGATCATGTACCTTTCCCGGCACATGACACCGACGCCTCATGTCGCTAGATGTACGCGATGGATCAGAAGTCCATGTTTTAGAACATGCCAATGCACCCCGCAATGGATAGCGCGCCCAACGTCAATCACACCCGCCCATGGTGTGTACTATAGTACGGCAGCCAGCTCGCGAGGGCGCCTTCGCGTCGCCATCATTGGCTCGGGGCCGGCAGGCTTCTACACGGCATATCGACTCATGAACAAAAACAAAGATGCCGTCGTCGACATGTACGAGCAACTGCCCGTTCCCTACGGACTCGTCCGCTACGGTGTCGCGCCAGACCACGCAGAAGTCAAGAATTGTCAAGGTACTTTCGAGGAAGCTGCACAATCACCGCAGTTCAATTACGTGGGCAATGTGAGGGTGGGGCATGATATTGAATTGGCCAAGATGAAGCCGCATTACGATGCCATACTCTTCTCATACGGCGCGAGCGAGGACAGGCAGCTAGGCATACCCGGTGAAAACCTACCGGGTGTATATTCTGCAAGATCGTTTGTAGCGTGGTACAACGGCTTGCCGGAATTCAAAAGCTTGAACCCAAATCTACAGGCTGGTGAACAGGCGGTTGTCATTGGTCAAGGGAATGTAGCTTTGGATGTTGCGCGCATGCTTTTGACCCCAGTACATGTGCTGCAGAAGACGGATATTGCCGAGCAAGCCATACAGACACTGTCAGAGAGCAAAGTGCGATCGGTTCGAGTTGTTGGTCGCCGTGGACCCATACAGGTACGTCGTCAACTCGCGACCGCCATTATGTCGCTTACAACACGATAGGCTGCCTTTACAGTCAAGGAAGCTCGCGAGCTCATGAATTTACCATCCGTTACTTTCGAACCCATCGACCGCTCCCTCTATCCCGCCGATATCAAGAAGCTCCCACGCGTCCAGAAACGTATAGCAGAAGTCCTTCTCAAAGGCTCCAAGACAGACACACAAGACGCGTCCAAGAGATGGGCTCTCGAATTTATGCAGGCACCAAGGTCCATGCAAGCCAACCATGGCCATCTCTCATCAGTGATGTTTACAAAGCAACAATTCGTACCCGACGGCGATCCCTTCGACCAAACAACCCGCGTCATGCCTACAAACGAGGAGACTAGTCTTGAAACATCCCTAGCTTTTCGCTCCGTGGGCTACAAGTCCACCGCCATACCCGGCCTATCAGAAATTGGCGTTCCCTTTGACGAGAAACTAGGCATAATCCCCAATGACATGCATGGCCGTATCATCACACCATCAGCCGGTCCTGGAAACCTAACAGCAGGCCACGTCCCCGGGCTCTACTGTGCAGGCTGGGTCAAGCGCGGACCCACCGGTGTCATCGCCAGCACAATGCAAGATGCCTTTGCCTCTGCAGATATCATCCTCCAGGATTGGGAGCAACATGTACCGTTCCTAAACGACAAAACCGGTGACAATACAAGTACGGGACTGGGCTGGCATGGCATCCAAAAGGAAGTCGAAGCCAGGGGTGTTAGACCCTTGAGCTGGGACGACTGGAAGAAAATTGACCAGGCTGAACGGGCGAGGGGAAAGGAAAAGGGCAAGGAAAGGGAAAAGTTTCAGAGTGTAGAGGATATGTTGGCTGTTCTGGGGTAAGATGCTTGCCCGACATTTACCGGCAGTCAATAGAAAAAATAACGAAAGAAGAAGAAGGAGAAGAAGAAGAAGAAGAAGAAGATTGAAGGCTATTTGCTTCTTTGGACATAAAATGCTCTAGTGTAGAGTTTGTGTTAGATCTGACTTTTTTATTGTTATTTGCTAGGTATTGTCCGTCAAAGTTACCACGAAATGTAGAAAGCAAAGTTTCGTGTTGGCTGGAGTGTCACGGCAAAAAGCAAGGATTGGCAAAAACATACAACGCGGGGATTCGCTAGTGGCCACCTGGATAAGTACTAATCCTCCGGTACACTGCTTGTATATGGCTGAGCGGACGGGAAGCTTTAATCTCACTTGTTCTACCATCATGATCATAAAGACCGCAATGTGGGGTTCCCCAGGCTAATGAGGCGGCTCCGGAGACTAGCGTCTTTGATTTGTGGGTCATTGCAAGCAATTCTCCCTCGAGACGAGCGAAACGAGCGAGACGAGCATGACTCGCATCGATCCTCGCAATACTCCATGTCACGATTCGTATAATAGTCTCAAGTATCTCTGCTCAGTTGGCCGCATTTTCATCGCGCACTTCCTTCCTGTGCAAACAATCTTACCCTCTACTTCTTTACCGCATTAAACTGCTCTCAATCCGAGATCGTGAGCTTCAAAGTCGGAGTCCTGATCACCGCAGACCCTGAACCAAGAATTTCAAGAGCAGACCACCGAAAAAATGTCGAACAACATCCTCATCACCGGCGGCGCAGGCTTCCTGGGCCCCATGCTCGCCGCCAAGTTGCTACAAGATCCCTCCAACAACATCGTCCTCACCGATCTTCACACACCCCAGCGGCCAGCCGGAATTTCATCTTCGACATCCAACATGGAGCTCACAGCCGCAGACCTCACCTCACAAGCCGACATCACCAAGCTCCTTTCCTTGCGCCCACAATGGTCCGCCATCTTCCTTTTCCACGGCATAATGTCCGTCGGCTGCGAGGAGAACCCCGCGCTTTCCACAAAAGTCAACCTAGACGCCACGCTCTCTGTTCTCACGTCCATCTCAAAACTCAAACAACCCTCCAAACCCCGCATTGTCTACGCTTCCACACAGGCTGTGTACGGCCCTCCTTATACGGCGTCGGGCCCCATTACAGATGATACGCCCGCGACACCAATCGGCGTCTACGGCACACACAAGGCCATCATGGAATACCACATCAACGATCTCAACCGCCGCGGTCTAATCGATGCCTTCGCCGTACGTCTACCCACCGTAGTCGTGCGTCCAGGAGCGCCTTCACGATCAGCAGCAGCGTTCCTAAGCGGTATGATCCGCGAGCCCATGGCCGGACTCGAATGCATAGTACCTATTAGCGACCGTTCGGCCCGCCAGATGATATGTTCGCCCCGCGTCATGATTGAGAACTTCGTGCGTGTAATGAAGGCTCCCGCGGATGCTATGCCGCCGCACCTGCGCGCGGTGTACATGCCGGGAATCAGTGTTACGCTGGGAGACATGTACGCGGCGTTTGAGGCGGTGTGTGGGAAGGATAAGCTGGGGCTGTTGAGGGAGGAGGTGGATGAAGAGGCGAAGAGGTTGCTGGATAGTTGGCCGCAGACTGCCGAGTATGGAAATGCTACGAGGATGGGGCTGTTATTTGATGAGAGTTGCGAGCAGATTTATAGAGAGTATGCTGATAGCTTGAAGGCACAGTAGGGGATGAGGCAAATAGACCTTGATGGTATAGGTTGAATAATTAATCATTTCTGCCAAGCACGATGTTGTATTGTAAATAATGGTTGGTTGTGTTCCATACTTGTGCATTCTCAGATGAACATTGTTGCTTGATTGACTGAGCAGTATCTCGATAACCATCTGGTTGATCAGACAGGTGAACTAGTTCTCCGTGCCCTATGGTCGTATGTGAAGGAAACTGGACAAAAAGGTGACTTGATCACATAGACATAGTAAAAGAAAACAAAGAACAATGCCCATTGTTAAGCCAAGCACATACATGCTAACTTGCACAAGAATAGAAAATAAACACATTCGTATCAATATACTGAGAGACGCGCCGATCCCAGCCGGTCTTATCCCATCATATAACCAGACCACGCTTTCTTGGCGTACTAACCTGAAGAACCATCCATTACATGATTTAGATGATAGTTCTACCCACTCTTTTCATCATTATTTTCACCAACCTACACCATACATACTGTACACTTCACCCATTTTACCGGCCATTATCGAATCCCATAAAACTATCTCTTACAGGAACATTCCCATCCATAACCCTACTCTCCCTCTCCTTTTTAGCCGAGTCCTTGGATCCTTTCTTCCTATGCACACCCCCTTCCCCTGACGTCTCACTCGCGCTCCCTCTAGCCTCAATCTGACTCTGTAGCTGCTCCCGCTGCGCTGCCGCAATGCGCTCGTAAGCTGGATTAGGCGGGGGCCAAAGATCAGCCGTTGTGACGTTTGTTTGTTTGGGGAAGACGTAGTCTGCGCCGCCAAAGGAAGACGACGATGATAACGAGGAATTTACTTCATTTCCGGGGTGCATTTGGCGGAGTTCTGGTAGGGGAGGGGGGAATAGGTCCGAGGTGGATACGTTTATTGTCTTAGGGCCGCTGCCGACGGTTTTGGGGGGGATGGCGAGAGGCGCGGGGGTAGGCGCTGGGAAGATGAACGAGGCTCGGATGGAGCGTGTTGCTATACTGCTCGAGGTTGGTGTTGTCCAGCCTGGGCTTGCGGCCACAGTGCGTGGCTCTTGTATCATGGTTGTGCGCGAGGGCTCTATCGCGATTGTTGGGACCGGAGGGGGCCAGAGATCAGATGTATGGACGTCTGTTGTTTTGGGACCCTTGTGCATGGGCGTCAGTGGTCCCCTGGGGAGGAGAGGGGAGCGCGCGGTCTCAAATATGTCGGACGATGGTCGGTTTTCGGCATATGGGGCGGGTGCGGTGAAGATGTCGTCCTCTGGGTTGGACGTGGTTAGGCCGGCTGTTCGTGGGGTGGGTATGGGATTGAAAGTGAGAGCGTGGGGAGTAGCTGCGGCTGAAGAAGTGAGGGTTGATGGCCTGAGCATGCTCCTGGTTGGTAGTCCTGCGCTTCTTGGTGCAAATGGTATTATGGGGACCGGGGGCGTTAAACCGTTGGCTCTGGTGTTCCCGGGTACATAGCCACCGGTTTTGGGGGTATAGATGCCGCGCTCGTGGTAGTGTTGTTGCTCTTCCGCTGATATGAAAGGTGAGGCTCTTGAATCTCTCTCGTGGATACTGCCGTCTTTGAGGATATTGAATGGTGTGCTGATGCCGATTTGTTCCTCGCCTTTTAACGCGTTGGCTTCCCATGTGGGGAGTCGCGGTCTGCTCGCGGTCAAGTCGAGTTTTGGAGGAGGTTCTTTCCTATCAAATCCAAATGTTGCCATGGTGTCACTCCGCTTGTGTTGTCTGAGACTTGAAAACGATGAACGCTTTTCACCTGCGGCTTCACTTTTCGCGATATGTTGTTCCAGCCACGCTCTGAATCCAACAATGGCCGTGGCACTGATTTGCACCATGAGAATGATGCTCACAACGGTCGTAGCGGCGATGGAGTCGAAGAATGCATCAATGACGCATAAAGAGACAGAGCGAAGGGTCGAGAAACCTTGTAGAACAACCAATTGACCAAGTGTTAAGAGGAGCTGAGTCGAGATCCCGCTGATGAGGTAGATACGTTGTGGTGTTTTGGCAAGTGCCAAAGGTCCTTTGTAGCCTGAAAACGATGAGGGAGGCGGGAGCGGGAGGTCGGTCCGCAGACGAACAATGGTAAAGCCAACTGTAGGAAACAGGAAAATGAAGGCGATCAGGCCGATAATCTGTTCTCAGTCGTTAGCTGCCATCTCGTATGAAATCTTACACTATAAACTCACGCTATGTGCATCCCTAAAGTGAGTAGAATTGCCTATCCCAACAATTCCCAGAATGATGGCAATGATGCCGAAGATGGAGAAGGATATCAAGAACCAAAAGCGCCATTTCAAGTTCTTAGCCTCGTCGATTGGGTAGCCAGCGATGACCGAGAAGCGCCAAGCGGCACCCCAGCTGAGGTATAGTGGAAGTAGGAGGAGGAAAGCGATTGCCGCAAATAGGACTAGTATTCATGTTAGCCAAACCTCTCTTGATCCAAAACAGATACGCCGTAAGCTTACTATGCAGCGCAGTAACTACGGCAAACGGAACAAGATCCAGTCCATTGACCTTTACACTTGCATCCCGAATCACAACCTCAAAGTTATTGCCGGCATTGAAGAGTGTAATTTGGCCTTGTGGCAGTGCTCGCAAAACTGCTCCATCAAGTGGCACGGATTCATCACCCGCCATCATGTCGAGAATACTAGGGTCCGCTTTAATAGCACTCATGATGCCGAGAGCCGCTGATGCGAGACCGCCGACACCCGAGCAGGTGAGGGTGTCGATAGCTTTCTGCGCAGCCAGTTCCGCTGTAGTTGCACTGATAGCAAAGCGATTTATTTTCATTCCCTCGAGTTGACGTGCGGAGAGCGGGTCACCAGTACCTGAAACGTATTAGTAGATGAGCCCCACCAGCCATCAACACAGACTCACCTACACTAACCTCCTCCGCCGCTCTTTCGCTGCGCTTCTGTCCCGGGGCTGGATCGGTAGCATCTTGAGAGCCTTGCGTAAGATTCCTAGCGATCTGTGCAAGCAAAATTGTCCCTTTTCCTGTCAAACCTCGTGCGAATCCAACTGCGGAGCCGTTCACTGAATCGTTGAACCTTGTCGGTTTCAACACTGGTACGTTGTCGATCGCGTTTGCTGGAATAGTTCCATTGATCAAGTTGTTGATGCCTCCGACAGACGCCAAAGCACTCAAGAAGCCTTCAATTGTGCCCCTAGCAAAACCCTCTGCTGCCTTGGCAGGATCGACATTCTGGAAAACTGACGCCGGACTGTCTGTTATGAGTTTCTGAGCTTGCTGAAGCGCCGTACTGTTCATGAGAAAGTTGGCGAGCAGGTTCTGCGTGAAGCTCTCCGCAGCCATGGCTGTCTGCTCATTGTCTCCAGTCATATTAGTACCAAGGATTGGCTTCGAGTTTGCCGCCTTGAAGCCCAAGCCAATGGCAACCCCCGCACCTAAGCCTGCGCCAGCTCCTGCAAATAGAGGCTGGAGCATGGCTTTGAGATTCATCAAGTCTGTCAAACTTGTACCGGTTGCTAGCATTGAGAAGTTGCTGCCCCCGACGAAAGACCGGCTGAGGCCTTTCGCAAATAAACCCACAGCCTCGGAGAAAGCCGTATCAGTTGATGAGTCGCCCGCTGTTTGTCGCTTCTGTATTCCTGGATTTCCAGCACTTGTTGATGTCAGCCCCAAACCATCTCTGGCGCCTTCCCCGAGCCCCATGCCGGCAGCAGCAGCAATCTGGGGAAGCTGCTGCATGATCATCGAGCCACCAGCACTCTTCAACAGCGCTTGGAAGTCGATATTGGCTACAATGGGCCCTGTAACCCCAAGACCGATGTTGCCAGCTATAGCCTCAATGCTCGAAACGTTGGACGGCAAATATTGCTTTGTTGACAATCCCAGGCCTTTTGCCGTCGCATTTCCGATACCAGATGCCAGTGCATAAGCTGCTGGGCTGAAGGAGAAGTTCGTGTTGTTGCTCAGAGATGGCGTGATTGCGCTGTCAGTCCCGAGCAAGTTGTTGGGCAATGAGATTCAGTCCCGTCGCTGAAGCATTATTCGCCGTTGCTATTTTAGTAGCTAGATCGATTGCTTCCTGATTATCAGTCAGGTTTAGACTAGTTGTGGCGCCTACGCTGTTGAGCGTTAGTAAAGCCCCATGTAATGTGCAGGTAACCTACCCCAGACCGATACCAAGGAACAGAGCGGGTTGATCCAAACTGCTCAGTATTCCATCCAGTCCGCCTGTAAAATCCAGGCCTATTGAGTCTCCTAAGCCCGCCAGTAAGTCGCCCAGTACACCGGTAGAATTCAAGCCTGCTACACTGGGGCCACCACGGGCACCAGAACCACCGCCACCAGCTAAACCACCAAAGAAACTGCCCACTTCATCGAAGAAACTACGTTTTTTCAGTTCCTTTCGCTGTTCGCTCCGCATATGGTTGATACCATCGGTGAGGTTGGTCCCGAAGTTCTTCAGGCTATCCGATCGAAATCGCTGTCCAAGGGTTGTCGACGAAAGCGCAATCGCTTCTGTGAGTGATAAGAGTGCGCTGCGTAGCCTGGGGTCATTGTTGAGTGCATCGATAGTCCGCGTAGAGAAAATCGCATTGAGGCCATCCGGGTATTGCTCGATCGGACTAAATATCCGGCCTGTCCAAAATCCACATGAGGAGAAAAGCAGAAACAAAGCTGTGCAGAATGCCAGCAGGTACCAGACCGGCCTCCCTCGATCTAAAGCAAGCATTACAACGACGTAGGGGGGTATCTCAAAAGCATGCGGAAAAGGAGATGAAAGTGTGAAAGTATTGATGGTATTGATCAGTCACGGCACAGACACCAGGCAGGCGTACGCAGCCTGTCAACCAAAGACCAGGGAGGCTAATTTGAGTTAACCATGGCACGAAGGCTCCTAAGACTGTTGCGGTCGCTATTGCGAAACATTGTCAGCGTGATAACAGAAACGCGCTAGGTTCCCATCGAGCACGCATTGTGTCGGCAGCGATCACCGTACACATGCCCAACGCCGTTCTCCAGAGGTGTTTTCCCAGAATACATTCGGAGATGCCTCATATTGAGCTTCGAAGTTGGGCCAGTACTACTACTTCCCAGCTGACCCGAGATGGATATGGGTGGGGACGTAAACCGCATCTCTATGCGACAGCCACTGCTTCCGAAGACCATTGTCGCTCGGAAAAGGGCGTAGAAGGGTCCGACGAGGTACCTCTCGTCTGTTTCCCGGGTTGCCCTGGCTCCGCGATCTTCCCGTAGAGGTCCCGTCCGCAGATGCGACGATCTTGAAACAAGGTTACCAGCCAATGATGTTAGACACCAGAGAAAGCTTGATGACGAGAGTCATCTATTTGAAAACCGATCGAAGCACATGTGATGCCGTTGGAACGCCATGCTGTTACCGAGGAATGCCCATGACGGCAGGTACCAAGTGCATGTGTCAAAGGGATATGTTGGGAGTTAGGCTTTGTGGTGTTGTCGGAAAGCGGACTCCTTGGCAAACAGAAGCTTGGATGCATCCGTGACCCCTTGAACGGTCGGCTGGGGTAACATATGCGCAGTAATGGATTGTTATGCCGTTCCAATTACAAACGTAGAGGTGCAAATGCAGTATCGTCTGAGGGGCTGAGGGGCTGAGGCTTTTTCCCCGTTTCGAGGGGGCTTGAGCCTCGTCACGGTGCAAGCTTTGACTACCTAGCGCACGGTTATGAATGACGCGCAGCCACCGAGCCACTTCGTCATGATATGGCGCGGGCGATTAGATTTGCGATGGTCTTGACGGGTGGCAGCTGGTAAGAACGATCAAAGGAGTTGGAACAAACTTCGGGGGGGGGGGGGGGTAATCACTTGCTGAATAAGCATGCAGAAAGAACTTCTGATCCGTGTAGGACATCTGATTCACGTGTCAAGTTACTCAGGCCGTCGAGCGATTCTCTTTGCGAATACGAGTCCGAAGGCACTGAAACTTTTGCGTCAATCTGTGTACCGTTTGATCTTTTTCTGGAATAGAGACTTGGTCTGAGCACGTAGACCTCTCTTTTGGACGCTTCTGGTCTCACAATTTTCATGCAGACCTTGATCACGCCAACTGTTCTGAAATTCACACGCCAATACAAGCCGGGTGCTCTCTTCCATTGCGAATTTGCTGAGTCGATGTAATCTTTCCAAGCGCTTTGGGTGCCTCAGGCACACGCCGATATTTCCCGAAGATCGCTCTCAAGCAACGCCAGACAATCACCACGACATTCTCTCCTCCGAACGCCAGCCTCGCAATACTAAAGATGCTACTCTTTGGTCTCTATCTCATCGCTTGATAGCAGTACCTCCAACGCTCGATGGCTTTCATACGCCGCCCGGGCGCAACACAAATCAATTAGTCCTACCCGCTTACCGACACAAGCCGTACCCACCCTATTACCCACCGCTTCTCCTTAGCGAAATGGTCTACACAATCTTCCGAGTTACCTTCCCTGATCTGCTACGAATGTATCACTTCGTAGTCATCTAATGTACCGGTCATTACGCCGGAGGGCAATTGGATAACACCACACACTGGGATATTCAAGACCTACCTTGTTACCAAAAATCCCGATAAAGCAGCTGGCTTAGAGCTTATGCACTGTAGTGTTGACATCTGGTTTGCCCCCTAGTCCCTGTGTTGGTTGGCTTTGCACTAAGTGCGTAAAGGGAAATAACGATAACTAGGAATGCATTCTATTCGGTGATTGTTCTGATTGATTGTCTTGCGAAGGAGAACTATGGAAGAGCTAGATATAGGAGGTCTGGTCTGAGCGCTGCTCGGACGCCGCGATCAGTGCGCCTGCTCGCGTGACCGAGATCCGTGCGGCCGATCGCGTGGCTGAGATATCGTTGATATCTGTGATCCGACACCCTGTCTGATATCTTCCATGTTTTTGTTAGCTCAATTGGGCGTGTTCTTCTCTTCCATTTTCTTGTGCGTGTAAAAGCCACTTCAATACCACAACAACACAATGATGTATCGCGACCAAAATACGACTGGCATATGGCACTATGGAACCTCACTACCATCGGGGGTGATTTGAAAATTCGGAGCGTGTGATAGCGCAGGATTTTCACTGTCGGCATGTTTCCTACCAGAAACATGTCACTCTAACCATCTATAGCGCTATCTTCGGAGTATATGTTGTCACAATGCTCATCTTTGGGTCCATCGCTCGCCTACTTTGCCCGAAAACTCTATCAAGCTTAATCCACTGCACTAGTCTACTTACAGCTATGCAACGCCGTTGAAAGATAACTTAGGCATGTTTCTGCCCGCCAAATCTTTTATCGCAAAGGGTCAAGTGGGTAATGATTTATATCTAATTAGGATCGACCATTTGCCCACATCGAAAAACACTATTCGCTAATCAATCTCCAAATAGAGCATCGCTAGTATAAGTTGCGCAATGCCCTGGCTCTCCATTGAGTAGCTGTTTTCCTATTCCAGCCAACTGGACAGACAAAAATAATGCGCGTCACACTTTCTAGTCTGGCACTTTTTGCCTGTGTCTCTGTAGCAGCCGCTGCGCAGAAAAACGCAACTATTGAGCGAGAAACCCGCAGCATTGACGAAATCTACGAAGCAGCAGTTGCCGAAGGTGGTGTTGTTACACTTTGGCATGGCGGCGATGAGAAGACCCAGCAAAACAATCTGAAGACTGCCTTCGAGGCACGATTCCCCAAGATGAAGCTCAACGTGACTGTTGACATTTCTAAATACCACGATATCAATCTCGACGCGCAACTCGCAGACAATAACGTCTACGTCGACAGCATTATTCTCCAGACGCTGAACGACTACCCACGCTGGAAGAAGGAGGGCGTTCTATTGAACTACGCGCCTTTGAACTTCGACAATGTCTACCCGGAGTTCAAAGATGCAGAAGCAGCCTACTCTGGACTGTTCATCATCGCATGGGGGTACGATACTCCGAGAACTTCGTCTTACCGTCACTGCTAACCAAGGACAGTCTCTCCGCAAACCTGAACAAGACGAGTGTAGTACCAACCGCATACGGAGACTTCATCAAACCCGAGTACAAAGACAAGATCGTTCTGACCTACCCTAATGACGATGATGCGGTTCTGTACCAGTTCGAAATTATGTATGTCAATGTTCTTGAGCTCTCTATGCAAATTGATTAACATAATTCCCAGCCGAGAAACACTGGGCGATGGATGGTTCGACGCCCTACTTGCCAACAACCCCCGCTGGGTGCGTGGCACACAAACTCCCGGCACAATCCTCGGTACCGCCAACAGCACCAGCGCAGTAAGCTTCACCAGCAGCTACTCCTTCACAGCCCGGCCACCGGTCGACTACGGATTGCCCACCGATGCCAAATTTGTCTCCTGGCCTCAAACCGGCGCCATCCTCAAAAAGGCACCGCACCCCGAAGGCGCAAAGCTGCTCCACAGCTTCATGCTCAGCGACGAGTACCAGAGTGACGCCAAATGGAGTGTTCGTCAAGACGTTGCGCCGCCCACGGGTGCGCACAAGATTCTCGAACAGCCTGGTACTGACGCGCAGGCGTTTACCAAGTGGATGTCGGACCGTGGACGAGTTGAGAGGGCGAGGTTCTTTTACGAGCAGAGGATTGGTGCGCCACAGGGTCTTAGCCCGCTCAATGATAACTTGTGAGCGTGGTCGTGCTTCTGCGATAATGTTCACAAACAATTTGTCCTTTCTCACCAGCACCAACAGTGGCCGTACTCGCAGTGAGACGATACTCTCCACATTCAACTATGATCCTTTAAGCCATGTAAAACCAGCGGTGTATTGCTGATTGATATTCATATACGGTGGAAATGGATGTTCGTTATTCGCCTGTTTACTCCAAGTTCGTACAAATTCTATATCATCACCTTGGTAAGGTGTACGTCTGGCATGCTACTATGCATCGTTCGCAATGATATTTTGGTATGCCACTTTGGCGTTTTATTAGTCTTTCATTTCACTTCTTCTCGTTTTTCTATTGTATCACTTCAGATCTTTCTGCTGTCAGCTTGCATCATAGAGACAGATCCTGGGGCCTAAAAGCATATTGCATACGCGACTTAACCCGGCCACAAAGGTAGTCGTTGATATACGCTGTATTCATCAGCCGCTTCCTATGCTACACTGGCGGACATTTACTTAAGGATTCATCCAGGCCACTGGTGTCGATATTGAGAAAGGGAGCCTAATTGATACATAAATGAGTCGAGATCAAGGTTGCAATTGCCGCGCGGATCACGCGGACGGGAAAAACCAGGAAAGTGCAGTAGGGTGTGTGGACCCCGGCCATGCAGCGTAAAGATGCGAATGACCTTATTTCAATGTCAACAGCTACATCAGATCTGATATAAGCCGCCCCGCATTGCCCGTATACAAGACTTCAAGAGAGTGTTGAGTGGTCACGCGAGGTTTACAGTATGAGCGATTATCCTGCATTGCAAGGGCTCGATTTAGGAGAGATTCGCTCCTGGGCAGGCATCTCGGCTGATTGAGAGCTCAAGACTGGATAAAAGATGAAGGATTATCGACATGTAAGATATCGGAAGGCATGTAAGAGCTTTTGAGAGGTTCGTCTAGCTCGCCAAGATATTGATTACACGCACGCGACCATGTGCAACACTGGCAGGCCATACACGAGCTACTTCCAACGCAGTTGTCTGGTGTGCACTCACGCCACCATCCTTCCCAGCGCACAACAATTGATGTTCTCTACTCGAATCCTCCAGACCTCGGTCTACCTCAAAACAAAGATTCTTATCAATGATCAATCTTTAGAGAATCCTATGTCGATCTTTGCCACGTTGCAAGGCTTGTACGCACCCTTGTCGGAGGATTTGCGTCGCATACAAGTAACGCGCTCACGCCAACAGGCACCGTCGCACACTGGAATATG